TTAATATGGCACATCCGTCTGCACGTACAGAAACTTGCGACTGCGGTTATTCAAATCTTCAGTATATATGTTTCAAACATGTGTATGTGAGTATATATGTACACATACGGGCTTCATACATGTGTATGTAGAGGTATGTATGCAGATTCTTCCGCTACCCAGGGTTCGGATTGGGGAGAGTCGTCTGCTACACTCTAGAAAGGGCGTTTTGATGGAACAGGTGATTCGTTAATAGCCTCTCCGGGCGATTCTCCCTCTCTCTCTCTCTCTCTCTCTCTCTCTCTCTCTCTCTCTCTCTCTCTATCCATACGTCTATCTACCCAGATATCCACCTTACACATCTTACATGTATACCTGCATGCGTACTTACGTACTTGTAGACACACATACATGCGACGATGATGTATGCATATGCTTACGGATGTACGTTAATTTAGCTTCTGCATTACCCCACACACACATTAGTACATGAATATATAAGTAAATTTGCATATATATATATATATATACATGGTCACTTGCTTGTTTCATATTATTGCTATTACTTTTTTACGTGTGCGCATGAGACACTTCTTGCGGAGGCCGCAGGGCTGTCCTCGAGCCCTTCCTCGGCTGGGCAGCCGGAGTCTGGGATCTTCTTGAGGGGCCACATTTAAATTATAATACTAATACTAATAGTAATCAGAAAATACAAGTAATAATATTGGTAAGAATATTAACATTAGTATTAATGCGGTCTTCATTTTCTACTACATATGGGGTGAGTCGGTGAGTTGCTGAAGGGACTTCCATCTTTTTTACGCCTTATTGTTTACTCAAGGTTCTACCCTGTTTTGCAAGCTTATGTAAGAACTTTGCAAGGTCTTAAGTGGCGTTAAAGAGTTTAGTGCGGGCTTGCTGTATTAGTGTTACGGAAACTTGTCCGAGTTAGTTAGCGTAGTACCGAGACGATGTTCCGTACCATTTACCGTGTATCCTCTTTGTGACAACTTACGTCAAGCGCCTTGACAACAGCTCAGGAGCTGGATGTGTTCGTGGACGTGTTCAGCATCGACTGCTTCTTGGTTCAGGACGAGGTTAACTTCTACCCTGCAAAGCCCCGTACTACAAAAGCTCTACACTGTAGTAGTTGCCCAAAGGCCCCAAAGTAGTTCCTTTTGGGGCTCGTATGTAAAATTCTATAGGGTAATCCCAACAAGGAACTACTATGGGGCCTATGGGTGTGGGGGGAGTGAGGTTCAGGATCTCTGATCCTTTCATTAGCGACCCAAACCCTGAAATGCATCGATTGTGCGAGTTGGCTTTCAAGCCGACCCAGTGGGACACGATGAGCCGGTCAATGGGACGGTACCTATGGGAGATACCGTTGTTTGGGGTTTTTGGCACGTGACCATGGTGGTACATGACGTAACCTGGCATGCTTTTTTGTTTTGCAGATCTCTGCAATGAGCTTGGAGGTGAATGTTAGCGCCCTTGTTGGCATGGCTGAATTGCATTTGCGCGCCTGGACAAAACAGTCGGAGCCCCGAAGCAGCAGTGTAGAAGCCTGCCACCCGAAGTTTCGAAACATATCCCAAGTCCTAGAGGTGTAAGCCGTCACACTGGTTTGAAGCTTCTCATCGGAAGCCTGAACATGTTTAGTTTAACCTACGAGCCGTATGTGTCGTATGCAATGAAAATTGCGGTTGCCTGCCTCCAGCAGCAGCGGCGGGGGTGGTGGTGGTGGTAGTAGTAGTAGCAGTAGTAGTAATCAGAACAGTAGTAAGACTTCTGGTGCCAACGGTAATGGCTCTTCTCGCTGCAGCTACGCAATGGTGCTGAGGCTACTTGGCGTTAGAGCCGCTCATCGCGATGCTCGGCCGTTGCTGCCTCCATTGGCGAAGTAGCAAGGCCATGCAGCCGTGCCACTTCCGCTCCAGTCGAGGTAGCAGGGCCTGTCCCCATCATAGATGACGATGGTTGACTAGTTTCAAGACCGTTTATTGTAGGGGCGTCACATAGTGGGTGATTTGTTCAAGATTTCGTAAGCAGTGGTCATGAGGGTGTGTTGAGCAGGGGGCAGCTGCATGCAGGGGTACTTTCTGCTCGCAACTCTTGCGCTTATTGCGCTGCTTGCTGTTATCTTCTCTCAAAGTCCAAATCCATTGGGTCCATAATCCTCACTTCGTGTACTCAGCCATGCAGGAGGCAAAAAAATCCTCACCAAATCTCACCCTGCCCTCTCAACTTCAGCGCGGCACTTGGTTTTGCGAGGCCAAAGCGCGCATGTCGGTTCCAGTCGGTTCGGCAGACAGGAGCCTTGTGTGGGGAGGGTTCGCCTTGCAAGATTGGGCTTGAGGAGGACCCTAAGAAGCTGTACAAGTCTCGCTGTCAAAGCTACTTTGTTATAGTTGGGTAACGTTTTGGGTTTTTGTGGGTATTTAAACTCTAAACCTAAGATGGACAAGAGAGTTATCTTGCCAATATTATCCCAAGCCTGGACCGGGGCGAGACAACCCGCAACAGGCCGATGCCTTCGGAGGCCGCAGTTTGGATTTGATTGGTCCAGCAAAATGCCAATTTAGTTTGGGTTTTAAGGCTTAGGGTTTGGGCTGTAGGGTTTTGGCCTGCACTTATCGGTAACCTCTTAGTTTCCACCGCACAAAGCAGATGATGAGATGGCAATGGGAGTGGATCGTCGTCGAGGTTTTGGTAACAGTTACTCCGCTGCAGTATGTATTATTACAGTTATACGACAGCTGGATGGGGTGTTGTTTGTACTTCTGTAAAGACCGCACTCACTAAGCCCCTTGAGACTAAATCCTGAAGCTCCCTAACACTGTTGGGGCCTCATCGTCACCCTTATAAAGAACACACACACAGAGATAGCACACATTTGTCTGTATGTATATGATACTGAACTCCAAACCGCAGGATGTCAGCGCTGTCCAAGAAGCAGACGTATCAGCTGCGCATCCAGCAGAGCTATGCTGGACTCAGGGGGCTTCCGCTCGACCTACCCGCGGCTCAACTTGAAGGTTATTCTTAACGCATTTTTTGAGATGTGTTCAGGGTTTTTAGAGCCTAGGGCTTTAGGGTTTAGCGTGTAGCTTGAAGGTTGAGGAAAGCAAGGGCTGGAAAAGAAACCCCTCTACGAAGGTTTCTCGGAAGTGAGGCATCGCTTTTCTGTAGGGGGTTTCGGGCCTAGGCGGAGTTGGCATGGTTTCTGGTTTAGGGGTTCAGGGTCTGAGGGCTTGAGTTTTGGGGTTTCTGGGTTCAGGGTTTGATTTATGGTTTTAGGGTTTAGGGCTTTCAGGCTTCTAGATGTTAGGCTTAAATTGGCTCCAGTCAGGGGTTAGGGCCGCTTAGGGTTAACAGTTCGGCTTGGGATGGGTTGAGGGTGAAACGTTTGGACTGAAGATTTTTCCATGTCCTTGAGGGACTGGAGCACAGGACTTGATAATGTGCCACCACTGTGTAGGTTGAGCACCGGAGCAGGAATGATTTCAAGCTACAGCTACAGGAACTGCACTTTTCGGAGTAGAAGTGCGGGTTGCAGTAGTAGTCGTCGTGGTAGCGGCAAGAATGAGCAGGAACAACACTGGGTAATTTCAACGGTTGTAGTCGTGGTAAGAGCACTGAAAGCAGCTGCGTAGGCGTAGTAGGAGGTGACCGCAGAAGCAGTAGTCGTCGTCGTTGTCGCAGTCGTAGCAATACCCACAGCGGTTGGTGTTTGGCGGCGACGGTGATGATGATGATGATGATGATGATGATGCTTGTCGTATAGTACTAGTTACTAACAGCAGGCACGCGGCAGCAGCTGCAGCAGCACTGCTGATCCCTTCCACAAGATGTTACGGGCAAGCGAACGACTAAACCCTAGACCGAAGTAGGAGACAACCCTATGGTTTTGGTGGCTGCGGTCTGCAGAAACGTTGTGAATTAGTTTCCCGACGACCCAAACCCGGGTAACAGTAAGCCCGGGCCCCCTTTGTTCATCCACCAACATCCCAAATTCAAGAAGGCCTTCTCGAAAAATTCTGTACGGTACCCGTAGGGCTCCATGGTACCCGTAGGGCTCCATGGTTGTTCCTTTTTAGGATTACCTTATCGGATCCGGAATATAGAGCCTATGGGTATACAGCACGGTAGCGTATGGCAGGGCGACGTCTCGGCACCCGGCTTCCCGATAGCGCTGGCCCCTGGGCGGAACTATGGCATCAAATCGACATGGCAGGGGTTTGCATCACTATATCGTTCCATCAGCTCAGTGTTTGTCGAGGCTTCAACTTAATGAGCAATCCAAATTCGAAATTCCAAAATCCTGAAACCCTTCGGCCCCCTACTCCCGCACTGCCCTGAACCCGACATCTCGCAGCCTAAAATCGGTTGTCCTCGGTGTGAGGCCTAATTGAATTCCCGTTTTTGTACTTGAAGATTCCTAGAGGCTCATACCCTACCCCTTTTTTAGGGCGCCTACCTTTAAGATAACCGATCCTAACCATAAAACTAAGTAACCTAAAAAAAGGGGTAGGGTATGAGCGTCTAGGTCAATATGAAGGCTTGCAGAATTGCCAACACCGTCCCTCGGGGTCCCTTCATTGCTTTTGGTATACCGTACGTCCCTTTTTTCTAAAGGAACCGAAATCCCTCAACCCAAAACCCTCTAGCACGCGTATAGCCCAAAGCCCTGTAAAGAAAAACATTGCAGATCTTCTAAAAATCCTAGAACCTCTGTAAGCTCTCAACAGCGCCTAAACTCCTGAAACCTGTATAGACTTATCACCGAGGCCTATGTGTCGAGATGCGAGGCCCCGGCCATTGCACAGGCGTTTCTGCGTCGCTGCTTCGCGCTGGTAGCTCGGCACCCCGTTGGCTCAGGGTCTAGGCCTTTATTCTGTTTTATGTGCGTTAGGGGATCAATGTAGAGATCGGGGTTTAGGGTTTGAGGAGTGAGAACGGGGCACGGTTGCCAAAAGAACCTGATGAAGGTTTCGAAGAGTGTGCGAACATCTAACTTGCTCTAACAAAGCAGGGCCACCTCAGAGATGAGTTCAACTGAGCACACTAGGCAACCCAGAACACATTATACGGCTCATATTACATATTTGTCTTCGGGAGGCGAAGAACCCGATGCGCACCCCAAATACGCATGCTTTGGCGGGAGCACGATTGCATTCCAGGTCAGAGGGACCAGAGTATATCAGAGTATCGAGATTTGAGGCGCCGAATAGTGCGCCCTTTATGCAAGGACTTCAGCGACTTCGATCGCTTTGAAGACCGAAATGAGCAAGACTTTACACACGGCACCAGGGCAGGACTGCGATTACAGTGAGGGTGCAGGGTGAAGGCTAAACCGGCTCGGGGTGTAGGGTTCAGCGTTCAGAGAAAGTTTTTACTGAGTTAGACGCGGCAGCACGGGACTGCAGAACGATGCAGAACGGACGCGATGTTGGTCGACACGGTGCGCAGCGGGAACCGTGGCACGCTGGACGCCTGTTCAGCGCTCCGAGCGTTCCCTTTGCACTTCATGCAAGAACCCCTTGTGATATCACCGTGGCTTGGGAGATCTATCCTATAAGTAGGCTTTTAAGTAGGACTTCTTTCAAGGTGCTTGCGTGTTATCCATTTGAGGGTCTGCGTTCTTTGATCCACACCCCTGGAAATGTTGGTTCGAGGTCTTTGATGGATCGCAGCGCGTACCAGAGCTGGACGAGCCGATCATGAGGAGGTGCCTTTCTTACAAGCCGAGGGGCCCTTGACCATTAGGAGTGCGCAGCTTGAAGGTTATCTTCCCTGAGACAGCTGACGCAGTTACAACCGACTAGCTTATTCCACGTCAGGAAATGCACTGTGGTTGGGATGCGGGGGTTCAGGTTGTCAGAACTTGCAAGCTCATTCGGCGTAGGAGCCCTTCTGCGGATCCTGCTGTTGCCCATATGGTCATCTTCCCCATGCCCCATCTTAGCGACCCTGCTTTGTAAGTCCAGCGGGCGTCCAAGAAGCATGGAACCGTATGATGGCTCCAATGCGCCTATGTAGCATGTACTGAAGCCTTGAGATGCTTGATCAGGAACCCCCTCAAGGCCAGAAGTATACACGATATGGGCACCTGAAGCCTTACCGGAATGCGACGGAAAGCCATAATTAAGTAGGGCCCCAAGCAAGCGCAGTTCGCAAGCCCTTGAAACTCTGAAGTCATCGATTCCACCGTTGGTCTTGCAAATCTCAATAGTCTTCAAGAAGGGGCATGTGAACTTATGTTGGGGTTCCACGCGGGATTTGGAGGGTGTTAAGGCAACGCGCATTCACACATACATACATGCGTGCATGATTCCATACGCACACACACATGCATATATATATATATATACATATGTTTATATGCATGTGTATATATATATATATATATATATATATGCATATATATATATATATATATATATTTATATACACATGTACATATATATATATATATATATATATATATATGTGTACATGTAGGTATGTCCGTACATATACATACACGTATACGTTAACATACATGCCTACATGCACATGGACACATATGTTTGTCGTTCGTCTGTTTTGCTCTCTCTCTCTCTCTCTCTCTCTCTCTCTCTCTCTCTCTCTCCGCGTCTCGCTCTCCAACCTCCTAGATTCCTAGACGCAGTGGCCAAACAGCCTGAAACCCTGAGCCCTGTCCCCCTAATCCAGCCGAGATGAACCCCCACCCCGGACCCGCAAATCGCACAGGATCATCGCGGAAAGTGGTGGCTCGGAGGCCTTCAAGCCAAACCTGAAATCTCACGCTGTCCAGGTTTTGTTCGGAGCTGGGGGATTAAGTCTTCAGGGATCAGGCAGTCGAGTCTTGAAATACCCAAAGCAAAGAGGTGGTCATTGGTGGGATCCTCGGAGTGTGGGTTTGGCCTTGAAGCTTTCGTGCTTCGCGGCCCGATTTGGGTTGCTTCAATGACCCGAAGGGTACATGTGCCCATGCAGTGGATACCTTGGCCCTAAGGTACCGTACCTAATATGGGGACGACTTTAAGACAAAGTATGAATGGAGCCTCAGGGGAGGCTTTCAGGCCTGGCTTGGTCCTGAGAGGGGTTTGCGGATTTGGGGCCGTGTGCAGCCACGGCTGAAGATTCTCACTCACTCGTCGGTGATTTCTGCGCTTCTTGGGTATGGGCATGGGAAGATTCAATTTCACATTTGCCAAAACCCATGAGGCCCGGGTTTCTGTAGTTCAGGGTTTTGAGGTGTAGGACTCAGGGTTTAAGGTTTGTAGATTGGTGGCTGATCCTTGAATCTAAGAGCCGCAAGCAGCAAACATGTGCCCGCCCCGTGCGTGCCCTATCCCTGAAGCCATACTTAAAGGATCATGGGACTTAGTAAATGGGGTTATAAATACGGTGACTATACTTATAAGCACTTATAAACCCAATAATTAAGGCACCTAAAACCTTACTTACTAAGTCCCATGATCCTCCAAGTACACCCGGAAAGCCTTGACGTTGCTTCATGCTGTTCGGATGAGTGTCGCGCACCTGCCTTGTAAACTACGCAGGCGAACCAAGACCCTTTTTCCAACCCTGATCTACCTGGACCCCAAAGGTATGTAGAATAATTGCCTTTTGTAGGTTTTGGACCATTATTTTACTTACTTTGGGGGGTCTAGGTAGACCCTACTTACCGGAAACGCCGACGCGAAGAAGAAAGCCGAGGTGGCAAGGGCCAGTACCACGTACCATTGAAACACCCTCGCAGGGATTTAGGGCCGTGGGTTTGGGGTTTCTAGGGATCATAAGGGCTTAGGGTCAAGCCTCAGCCTCGCAAAACTGAAAAGCGCCGGGAACAGTCTAACCATTGATATTGGGGGAGCTAAGGAGCCGGGGATGATGATAGTCCCTACTAGACAAGGAGCTAAAGAGCCAAGGGAACCCCCAAAATCACTGGTTAGCAGTCGCAGGAGAGGTTCCTTCAGTGGCAAAGAACTGAGGCAGAGAGTGCGCTGAACCCCGGATGCAAGCAGGGCTGATGTCATTTGTACCCCAATAAACAAGGGATTCATAGGGGTTTGTAGACGGTGTGTTCATGGGGTGTTTTGTTTAATTAGGGCACCATCAGGCTTTGTGGGTATTCTGCAACATTGTGGAAGGTTGTTTTGAGTTGGTTAGCATAGATGTACATCGGCTGCTGGCTGGATTGGTTTGTAAGGTTTGGTTAGGGCTTTGGGGGTCCTCTCTCTCTCTCTCTCTCGCTCTCTCTCCCTCTCTCTCTCTCTCTCTCTCTCTTTCTCTCTCGCTCTCGCTCTCGCTCTCGCTCTCGCTCTCTCTCTCTCTCTCTCTCTGTCTCTCTCTCTCTCTCTCTCTCTCTCTCTGTGTTTTTTGTTTAGGGCAGCCGTGGCCGCCATGATCCCGAGATCCAGGCATCCTGAATCCTAAACTGAACGAGTTGGGCTGGGAGTTTAGTTGTGAAGGGTTTGATAGACCTTAGAACTTGTTTGGGATATTGCGAGCTTCATGCGAGCATTCAGGGTACTCAGGGTTTCGATGCTTTAAGAAGCCACTTCGCCTGCTAACTGGCCTTTAGACCTTTATACTATAGGGTTTGAATAGTATAGTTACCTGTTATTCCTTGGGTTATTTTTTTGCACAAGGGTACTATACCAGACCTCAGGCAATGCAGAAGGGGATCCTTGAGGGCCTGCAGTGACTTTATGCGGAAGCATAGGCGGGAGATGTTTTGAGCCTTCATCCGGTGCTTACCCCTGTGACGTATAGATGGGAGTTTCCGAAAATAGGGGACCGTAATATAGTACCCTAAATAGAAGGCTCCTTATTATAAGGACCCCAAATAAGGTACCCCTAATTTTCGGAAACTCCCAGATAGACAATGGGAGAGCTTTAAGCCTCTTGCCCTTCTCATTTTCGTTCTATCTAGTCTGTTTTTCAAAGCTTGAACTTTGTCGGTCCTAGTTATTGAAGAAAAGAGTGAATACCCAGAGGCTCCAAAGTAGTTCTTTTTTTGGGTTCATATATAGAATCCTATAAGGTAATCCCAACAAGGAACTACTATGGAGCCTCTGGGTAAATGCCAATCCAGGAAGGAGGATCGGGAGCTGGAGGCGGGAAGGGTTGGTGTGTGATGCTATCATTGCAGTATCGTTTCTGTTGGTGTTCTTATGGTCACTGCGCTTACTTCATAACACTGTAAAGCTATCATGAGGTGTCTTCAGTAGCTTTGTTGCTGTCCTTGACGGTTTGTTGTATATGTATGTGTATATATATATATCTATCTATCTATGTATATATGTGTATATGTATATATACATACATATACGTATACACACAAACGAACCCCACACCCCAAAAGCCTAAAAGCCGAAGGCGGAGCACAGCGTTTGGACGACGCCTTTCATTGTGGATCGAGGGACGAAGGAGGCGCCGACCGCGAAAAGCTACCAGTAGTCCCAAGATCTGACTCCATAAGGGTCCATGTCCCAGACCTTCCACAATCCCTAAATTAAGGAATGCTTGCTGTATACCTTAAACTATAATAAGATCCCTGATATGAAAACCAAGGTATATTCCTTAGTTGAGGGATAGGGGAGGTCAGAGGACAAGGGTGACGAAGTAGCCCGAACCCCCGACCCCGAAGCTCCAGCTTTTAAAGGGCATAAGGGATCGCAGTTTCAGGGATTCGGGTTTGGGTATAATGAATGCTTATGCATGGCCTCACCTTAGAGTTCAGGGTTTAGGGTTTAGGATTCAGGGTTTCGGGTTAAGGTATAGTAGTCTGCAGCAAGGTATACTAGTGAAGGTCCATGCAGGGCCTCTTTGCAGCGATGTATAGATTTTTTGCTTGTGGGAGTTTCCGAAAATGTAGTACCCTAAATAGTAGGATCCTCATTAATTATGAGGACCCAAAAACGAGGGACCCCTAATTTTCGGAAGCTCCCATGTGTCCAAACAATATATGTGTTGACCCGAAAGTATTCAAATAGGGACTATACTTTTCGGCCAAAGTAATGTATATCATTTGGGTACATGGACGCTTAGGGGATATAACGTTGTAGAAAGGCTTCCTAACTGTCCTGGACCACAACTAGTTATGGATTCATGCATTCCTTCAAATGCACTCGTCAACATTGAGTCGCTTCTTTTCATGCAGGCAGCATGTCTTACTTGAGGGCTGTTCGTGTCTTTGTGTTGTTGTCACCGCCGGTGCCGCTTCCCATATACTTGGAGTACACAGTAGCAGCAGCCAACGGCCCGGAAGAATGCTTTTATCTTTGCGAAAACTGTAGAGTTTAGGGGTTTGATCTTGAAGCTCAAGGGCTACTTCGATCCATGCATGATGGCTGCATGGTCAATACGGACAGGACCCTCTGGATTGGCTGAGGATGGGTGACTGACATGAGTGCTTGTGCAGGCCCTTAGCTGACAGTCCCGATCCTGTATCCGCCAATGCGCTATACACGCTAAACCCATTCAGCTTCTCTTGGATATGCCAGGGGGGGTTTAGTGCAGTTTATCGGGCGCAGCCGAGAAAAGATGTTGCGGTCCAGACCCAAAGGGTCCAAGTACCAGTATAGCAGGTATTTGGGCCCCAAAAGTAGTATATACTATACCATTACTTGGACACTTTGGGAGAGATTATCTGGCTTCGAGGTTTGCCACCCCACACACTAGAAAGAGATCAAGTAGTCTACTATAGGGGCCTTCATAGTTACCTATACTGTTGTGCGGGTTCCTTATTTTGATTATGTATACTAATGGGCCCCGAACCCTACTCTAATTGTAAAGTCCCCTATATTAGCCCCCGAGATCATTACACTCCCCGCGGAGGAAGAAAGCCCAGCAACCTGTGTCGGCCAGTGTACGGAAGATCGTTTAAGAACATCAAGTGGTCCTTAGATCCTCTTGGTATGGTTCAAGTCATGAATCCAGCCTAGTTGAGGGGCAAAGTGGGCTCTGTGAGAAGTGTATCAGAGTCTGCAACGGGATGAAAGCACATCTTAAATTGCTGTAAACGCTCATTGCTGGGTGTAAGTTAGGTTTCCCCAAGCTTTGATTCCTAAAACCTGCTCGCTCTCTTGGAGGTCTACATTGACGAGACCACCTTTCCTCTGCTGGCTCTGCAACTACGTCGAGCCTTGGGCTACATCCCACGTACCCAGAGAGCCCGGTACACCTTCCGAATATATACGAAAGAAAACTCCGTATTACAGGTGACTCTAGTAAAATAATTCCTCCTTGATTAAGGAATAGGGGCCCTCGTTAAAACCCTTACTTATAATTCAGAAATATGAGAGTGCCGTACAAGACTTTGGCCAGGCAAAGTTGTCGGAGCTCCCTGACAATGACCCTTTGCCCCAAGAGCCTTCAAGACCCTGAAGCAAAGCAGTCGCAAGGCCCTCAACCAACATGGGTGCCTCCCCTTTCAATCTTTTGCGTATTTTCGGCGCGAACGCCCATGGAGTCCGCAGGCCAGACCCGTCCAAGCTTGTCGGTTCCTAAACCCGAAACTAAACCCCTTAAACCCAAAGCACTCAAAATTGAGAAGCGTGCTTCAACGACCAAACCCCAAACCCCCGAATTCAGCTCCCCATGAAATCAGTCCCCGACTCCTAAAAAGCCCTAAGCCCGTTTCCAATGAGGACGTGGCTACGATGTGCCCGAAGTCCAAGAGGCGTTTGTGTTCATGGGGCGCAGGGTCAAGATTTAGTGTGGTGGGGTCTGCGCGTGGCTGTGTATACTGGTTCTGGAGTCTAGGATTGATTTCAAATCTGCGGTATGGGCACAGGGCGGGTACTCGAAGCTTTTGCCTCAAACAGAGGACCTTCATCCCCAACCTCGGGCCCAACAATCTGCACCTTAAACCCTCTAGGACCCAGAGTAGGCCCTTATTCCCTTTTTTAGGGTTCAGGTTCCCTTATAAGCCCCTTTAAACCAAAAAGGGCATCCTTTTTATGCCTGGGTTACTCTTGGGTCTAGCCCTAGACCTAGACCTTTTAAGTCCGCCAAGCCGTGGGAGGTCGAAACTCTTCATGATTATGATCTTAGTGCAGGGAAACATTCCATATATAAGGGTCCATGTGCTCATAAAGTAGATATCTTGGCCGTAAAGTACTTGTATGGGGATCATACTTCCAGGCAGAAGTAGATACCTATGTATGTACATAGACTCTTAGGGATCGGCAACCAACCAAGTTATCACAACCAAAGGTCTGCATACAATCTACACCTTGAGTAGGGTCGTCTTCAGGCTTGGTAGTTACGTTCAAGGTTTAGGGTTTAGGGTGTTCCTGCTCCAAAATGTGTCGTCTATAGGGTTGAGGTTTACATTATCCCTCACCGCAGGCTCTTGGACCTTTGCCCCTTGTGCGAGTGAGTGGCAACCCGACGCGGCGGACACTCACCCGGGCTTAGAGGTTTGGAGGTTGAGGTTTAGGTTTTGCACAGCGTAACCAGCGAGCTGGCAGAGGATGGAGAGTTTAGGTTTCATGGCTTTCTGTAAGCTCACATTGCGAGAACGTCCTAGGAGTTGTTATTGGTGGTTTTGAACTTTTCATGGGGGTTTATATACAAGCTGTACCTAAGGTGTACGGTCTCGTAAGGTCACAATTTCGGGTCTATTGCTTATCTCCCGTTGCCACCGCTGCAGCATCATACTGGGGCTTACAACGCTGCAATCTTCCTTAGCTAGGGCCCCAGAAAGCACATGAGCAAAATTAGGATAGGGATATCCCACAAAAATCTCGGCATAATGAAGCCCCATACGGTAGGGATAGCCCTATAACATGCTTATGCTTACGTCCTCTTTGGGTCCCTAAGTACCACCTGAATCCATGCGAGACGATCCCGAAACCCGGAAGAGATAGTCTGGCTCAGGAAACGCCTGGACGTGTACGTGGATCTGACGCTGGACTGCGCTTTGTAGTGTGGCACTTTCGGGTGCCCAAAACTCTCAGACTCACGTACCGACCGCAGACTTTGCCAAGCTACTTCAACCTTAGATAATGTTAGAGACTTGTCTAGAAAATCATTCAGGGCAAACCCCCCAGAGCCACGTACCGACCGCAGACTTTGCCAAGCTACTTCAATTGTAAATGATTTTAAAGACATGTTTAGAAAATCATTCAGGGCAAACCCCCCGAAGCCATTTACCGAGCGTAGACTTTGTAAAATTCCCAGACCTTCCAAAATCCCTTAGTTAAGGAATATACCTTTATTCATATTAGGGATCCTATTATAATTTAAGGTATATTCCTTAATTGAGGGATTTTGGAAGGCCTGGGTTGCCTTGACCGATATCCCCCGTCTGGCTGTTTGTTTGCTTTCCATCTTCATAGGGATCCTTAGGGGTGTAGGGGGAGGGGGGGTAGGGGCCTTAAGGCCCATAATAAGGACTAATAAGGCCTATTTAAGGAAATATAGTCCCCTACACCCCTCCCCCCGACACCCCTAAGGATCCCTATGACATCTGGCCCTGACTGCTGGGCAGGTCCAGACCGACATCCTCGTCTAGGCCCTGCACCCTAAACCCCAAACGCTTAAACCCGAAACACCAACCCCTCATCCCTGCCCCTAACACCATGTAAACCTTGAGCCACTTGTGTTCACGGTTCTCCAGACACCCTTCACCACCCCGAAGAACCCAAAGTAACCCTATAAGCCTTTACTGTAGGTTTCAGTTGCGGAGAGCGCCAAATTCAAATGCCAGCGCCTGACGCTTTCTACTGCCTGCACAACTTCACCACTGATTTATCCTTCTGACAAAAAATCATTCAGCTGATTGGCCAATCGTTGGCTGCTATGCCTGTCCCCATCACTCACCGATGATTTTTCGTGGGTTGCGTTTGGGAGAGTCCCACCCGAATCGCTAGCGTTTCGCATTTGGGAACTCTCGGGGAAGAGGAAATAAGGTGCGTTTGGGGCATTGCAAGGGTTGTGTTTTAAAATCGCTAGCGTTTGCGTTTGTGCGTTTTAAGCAACTATAAGGGTTTCACCCAGACACTAATGACAGCACATGCCTCGCCTGACTTGTCCGAGTGCGAGCTCCGAAACCCCCTAAAACTTACCTTTGGTTAGTAGGGAATGGAGGAATGGGGTAGAATTATTATTATTATTACTACTACTACTACTACTAGTACTACTACTACTACTACTATTATTACTACTACTACTACTACTACTACTACTACTACTACTACCACCATTCTTCCATTCCCTACTAACCAAACGTAAGAAAATGGAGCGAGGAAGAGTCCCTACGCCTACCTAGCCGTGGAGCCGACCTACTCGTTGGAGGCTTAGGGTTTAGGGTTTGGGGGGTATATGGGTGGTGGTCAAAATGATGGTCTCCCTATTATAATACGGCACCTAATATTTAGGGTACCCAAGAAGGTTTAGGGTTTAGGATTCCTTATTGTTCAGGATAGGACTTCGTGGTTGGATGTTCGCAGGTCGGGAACACAACTCTACTAGAGTCACTAGAGACAGGGGCCTGCAGATTTAGACACGTGTTTGATCAGAGTTTAGGAATGTCCATGTTTTTCTGCATGTGTTTGCTTTTAGTGTGTGTTCAGTGTTTAGTATAGGGCGCTGTTAGTGGGAGTATATGATAGTATAAGGATGGCAGCAGCAACAGGGGAAATGTCGGCGTATTATTGATTCTCAATCAGGGCTGTCCTTGTCCAGGCCCCCAATAGATGAACAGCAGACCGATCGTTTAACGTACCATCATGCCGTGGGGTTCCTGTTGAATCGCTAGGGCATGGGCATGGTTTGTTGCGTTTTGAGTACAACCCCGTGCTCAATAGTGGCATGTTTATTTATTGTTCAGGATTTTGGGATGCAGGGGGTGTGATATGGGGCTTAGCATGGCATTCTGAATCTTAGTGTTTAGGGTGCAAGGTTAGGGCTGCAGAGGTCTAGGGCAGTGGTTTACATGTCGTGAGTAGAAACAAATTAACCTTAACAAACTGACCAATGAGTCTACATAAGCATGTTTCACACACATACACATATCTGTTTTATACATGTGTCCTTACAGTCGTATTAGGAAGGGGGCTTTTCTACACCCATGACCTGTGGCACAAGATGCGGGCACATCTCGGAATTCAATTCCAGCCACAGCTGATTCACTGGTAAGGTGGCTTGTTTGCTTTCTTGGCTGCTGGGACAGTCTGCAAACGTATCCACGCGCAGCAATGGATCGAACAACCTGCCTACCCTAAATGCCCTAAACCTTTGCCCCACAAAGCCTAAGCCCAGTCAGCTTTGGGAATTTCATTTCTTTCTTGATGTTGTCACACTTGAGATATCGGGTTTGCTTCCATTGTTGTAGAGGATGACTTCTACGTGGACCTCGTTTGGAAGCCCTTCGTCCTGGACATCGCTGGGGTCTATGGCAGCGCCGAGGCACCAGGACGATAATGGAGTTTCCGACAATTAGGGGAACTTATTTTGGGGCCCCTGTAATAAGGATCCTACTATTAAGGGTGCTATATTAGGGTCCCCTATTTTCGGAAACGTATTTTGGGCCCTTATAATAAGGATCCTACTGAAAAGGCTACTATGTTAGGGTCCCCATCTCGGAAACTCCCCTATATGTACGCAGACCCCAAGCCCTTAACCCCAAGCAACCCAAGACATCCCAAAGCCAAAAGCCGAAATAGGCTTCAGAGAGTTTCGGGCGACCCACACACAGACAAAGGGCTACAGCAAATCAGACCCAGACCCAAGACCCCTGAACTCTACAGAAACTTTAGGTTTTCCGGCTTTTTCGATGATATGTGTTTAATATATACATCGCTGAAAAGAGGCCCTGCATGGACATTCATTAGTATACCTCAACCCGAAACCATTAAACTGCGGTCCTTATACCCTTCGGCGTTTAGAGCTGTGGGTTTGAGGGTTAGGGTTGATTCGTCACCCTTGAGAGAAGTATAGGGGTCGGAATACTTAGCAATACTATATACTCCCCAGCTATTAAGTCCCCTACATTATAGGTTTGAGGCCTCTGAGCCGCCTTGTCAGGTAGGGGCGCGAAACAACAAGGTCCGGCAAGGAAGCGACAAGCGGTCCCACGTCCCCCGGCTGTACTTGGAGGGTCGGGGGGATTTAGTAGCTGGTTATTTTAGGGACTTATAAGTACCATAACCCCAATTAAGGTCCCTTGTGGCGTACTTATGACTTATAAGTCTATACTACCTACTTACTAAGTCCCCCGACCCTCCAAGTAAGAAGTTCAGGGTTTTAGGGAGCATTAACTGCTGGCCGGCACCTTAGTAAGTGCAGTAGGGGAGTTTCTATTTAGAGCTCGGGATCTATCAAGGGTCTTGTCAGGGTGCTACCCTATACCCTAAACCTGGTACTACCCTAAACCCTAAACCCTGTACAGAAGGATTTTAGTGTGCAGGGCTGAGGGCTTCTGATCGGAGCTGGTGCCTGTTTGCAACAAGGGTAGGACCTGATTCAGGCGTCTTTCTGATGAACGGAACGTACCGGGAACTCCCATTCTGTTGCTTAGCCGATAAAGTAGCACAGCTTTCCATTTGTGATTGCTGCAGGGGAGTGTCACTTCAAGAGGATCTAAACGCACTACTAGAGTAGCGCCCAGTAGATAGTCTATTTCCGCCTCGGTTACCTACTCCGAAAAAGTATGTGGGAGTTTCCGAAAATTAGGGGGTACCTTATTTGGGAGTCCTTATAATAAGGGTCCTACTATTTAGGGTACTATTTCAGGGTCCCCCATTTTCGGAAACTCCCATATAGGAGCGCTTTCGTACGGTGTGCAGTCTTTCAGCTCACCAATCCCAAGACTTTCGGGAACAGAGATGTTTGGACCTTGTCGTGTGCGTCGTGAGTTAGAGAAATTTAGGATCCTCAAGAATCTGGTACTTGGAGGGTCGGGGGACTTAGTAAGTAGGTAGTAAGTAGACTTATAAGTACCCTAAAAAGGGACCCTAATTGGGGTTTTGGTACTTATAAGTCCCTAAAATAACCAGTTACTAAGTCCCCCGACCCTCCAAGTAGCCGAAAGCCGCGCCCAGGCACAGTGGAAGGCCGTGAAGTATTCGCACCGGAGCAGAACTGCTGTAGGTTGCCTGCCGGGGGTGGTGGATACCCAGACCTTCCAAAATCCCTTAATTAAGGAATATACCTTAAGTTATAATAGGATCCCTAATATGAATTAAGGTATATTCCTTAATTAAGGGATTTTGGAAGGTCTGGGTACTTGCTGGCTTCACTTGCGTCCAAGTTCATGGAGGACAGGGTGGGGTGTAACCTGACAGTTCCAACAGCAGCAACAACGGCAATAGCATGAATACTCGTTCGAACAACATCCAAAAAAGCAGCCGCAGCAAGGATGGCAACAACTGGCTTTGCTGCTCTCAGCACCAACGGGAACGATACAATATCACATCCATGGTGCGGGCAGAATTGGATCAAAGCCTGAGCCCGGAAACGCACACTCCCTACAATGCCCAGCTCTGCTTGCAAGGCTTCAAGAGAGGATTGTGGAACTGCACCTGCAAACTACCCATAAATCCATAAATCCACTCTTGCCATGCAGCTGCTTTTCCAAGGTACGCCAACGTCCGCCGCTATGCTGGAGAGCGCACGCCAAAGCTAACAGTCTTCGGAACACGAAAGATACTGGAACGGCAAGAATGAGATGGTTGTGCTTCAGGGTTCCTTTAAGGGTTGGGTTGTTGGGGTTGGCCCCCTCAGTTGCTTGACAGGGGAGTGAGGGAAGGCTTTTCCCGGTTTCAATGTTCTATGTAACTGCAGCCAGTTGAAGCAAGGGTTCTGACAGGAATGCAGGGACTAGCGGATGGAACATGCCCCTATGACAGGGTGAAACCTTGCAAAATGGCATGGCTTCGTCATCGCACCTTTTGAATTTCAAGCGAACAGCTATCTGGCATAGAACCAGAAATGGCAACCTGTGCAGATGCATTTACTGTGACTGCAAAGATTGTTCGGGTACGTGGTGGCCTGTGAACAGTAGTTCTGCCTAAGCTCCCTGCATCTCTGCTGATCATCGGAGCGATGTGAGATGGAATACAAAGTTAAGACACATCCTGAGAACCGGCGTCCTTCAAGGAAGAGGCTTTTGACTCTTCGTTACCGGCTGAAGTCTTCAAGCGAACGAATCGGTCTGCTTCATCGGAGGAAAACTAAACTTACCCTTGACCCTGTCTGAACCGTGGCCTGTACAGTGCTGTAGGGGCCTAAATAGTTACCAATACTATTGTGGGGGTTCCTTATTACAGTTATAGTATAATGGGCCCCGAAACTCTATTCTAATTATTAAGGCCCTATATTACTGTACTCCTGAGAGTTGCTACGCTGTGTCAGGATCTGGGACACACGGTGGGCCTCGTTGGCTCTGCTTTTTGCCGCAGAGGCTGGGTATTGCTACAAAATCGCACGGCCTGAGCATCAGGATCTGAGAGTTGGGAACTCACGGTAGAAAAATGTGGCACCGATTTTCACCCTAAGTCCTAAGTCGCATAGGGCCCTTGATGTAAGGAATCCAGACTATGGCATACTCCCCAAAAGTGTGCTGTTCCAAGTCTGCGAAGAATCCAGTTGCCCTTCCAAGTCCTAGCCGGTTGCCCGTCATGGCCCCTAAACCAAAAACCTAAATCCTAAACAACCCTGAAACCCGAAGAGACCCTGTGACCCTAAAAAGCCATATAAAGACCACACAAGACCCTGTGAACAATCATAGATCTAGGATGCCCAGTAATACACTTATTCCCTTCTAGCCCTAGGTTCCTTATAAAGGTACCCAATACCAAAAAGCGCGCCCTTTTTATTTCTAGGTTACTGAACAATGACATGGGTAGTTGTCAAGATTATGGTCCCTTTTGGGGTTCCCTTCTTTTTCGGTGCCGCGTTATAATTTAATAGGGACCCAAAAAAGGGACCCTAATATTGACAGGCACCCATACATCCTTTAAAGGCCCTGTCGAGCCGACTCCGCAGGCCGGGCGCCTGCGGGAGTTCCAACAGCGCCTGTGGCCTCCGTTTTGGCGACGGGAGCTGGATCCGGAGGACCTGGAGGCCCTTTTGGGGTTTAGGTTAGGTACTGCCCCCATACAGTAAGAGTCTATAATAGGGCTTCTATTAAGGTCCTAATATCTATATGATGAATATGATTCAACTATCACTGAGTGGGGGCCGTACCCAAGGTTTAGGGCTTGCCTGAACCCCAACAAAACCTATTTTTTAAGGGCTAATTTATAAGGAAAGCATATTAAGGAACCCTAAAAAGGTAGGTTATTTGGGGTCCAGGAAGGGTTCAGGGGTTTAGATGGGGTTAGGGTTTAGGGTTTTAGGACCTTTCGTTGGGGGGCTCCAGGGGCCGTTGTTGGAGGTTGGACTTTAGAGGCCTTCTTGTCGGGGGCTTTAGGGGCTAGAAGGTTTGGGCTTTAGGGGGGTTTAGGGTTTAAGGCTTTGTTGGAGGGTTTTGGGGTTAGGGTTTAGGGATTTTGTTACTACACAGGTCACTAGAGGTACAGGTCTAAGGCTCTATATAGGGAGTAATTACTTTAAGACCTAAGTATATACTATTTGTGAACCCCAAACCCTAAACCGACTATTTGTGTACATGGATCGTTTGGGTCTTGGAGGAGGCTTTTGGGGCTAGAAGGTTTGGGGTTTACAAGGGTTTAGGGTTTAAGGTTTTGTTGGGGGGGTCTTAGGGCTAAGGGTTTAGGGCTTAAGGCTTTGTGATGGGCTTTGGGGCTGGAAGGTTCAAAAAAAGAGAGGTTTAGGGCTTAAGGCTTTGAGGAGGGTTTTAGGGGCTCGAAAGTTTGGGGGTTAGAGGGGTTTAGGGTTTGAGGCCTTTCGGGGGTTTCCGGGCTAGAAGCTTTAGGATTTTATTGGCCTTTAGGGTTTAAGGCTCTTGGGGATAATGTGGATCTTGAAGACCAGGATGTAGGGATTATCAGGTGTTTTTTAGGCTTTTGGGTAAAGAGTTGTTAAAACAAAGGTTTGAGACTAGGGGGGAGATCATAAGGCTCCGAAAGATCTGGAGGCTCACCATTGGGATTTAGGCTTTTCGGTATTACAGAGGTCACTAGCTTAGTAGCTGAGTGGGTAGCCTTTAACCCTCTGGGGTATATATGTATAACCCTATATGAGGGTTTAGGATTGGGGGTTCAAGGTCAACCTCCATGCTTTCCTTCTGGAAAGACCTACCCAGACCTTCCAAAATCCCTTAATTAAGGAATATACCTTAAATTATAATAGGATCCCTCTTTTGAATTAAGGTATATTCCTTAATTAAGGGATTTTGGAAGGTCTGGGTACATAGGGTAAGGAGTTTAGGGGGATCATAAGCAACCGCAAACCTCCGAGCTTTCTAAGGGGGTGTTGCGAATAAAATCGGATGGGGGCATGCACTCGGGGTGTTGTGCCTAAACGCGCCCTGATGCGACCCGCTGCACGTAGGTACTAGTATGAAAAGCGTGAGGTCACTACAATGTTTTCTCCGGAGAAAAACAGATCCGGAATCTGAGTGTTTAATCAGGATCTGGAGGATTGCTCGGCTCGATCTCGGCTATCATACACTTCTATACAGGGTTCGGAAAGAGCGCCTTCTTAAGGGACATGTACGGTTCAGGGGTTTTGTTTTCTTGAGGGGCATTTAGGGTTAATGGTGTCACTCTTGACGCCGTGGACCTTAATCCAAAACTATACTCTAAGCGGGACAGTCCAATCATCGCCAGGACCTGCGAACCCTATGCATACGCACGAAGTCCTAAACGACGAGAAAACACATAGCAAAAGGTCAACTATCTATCTATGTAGCTCTATATAAAATAGTTAGTTTTCTATTCTTGTGTATATATATATACATATTAACATACTATGCCTATCTTTCTCTGTTTCTCCAAACCCGGAGGTGCTCCAGAAAGTGCTCGAAAGTGCGGGCGCCACTGGGCTGAAAGCAAGCCTGGCCCCAGATGTCGTTTTATTGCTATGATCGCAGAATCCCGACTTGTCTATCGTGGTTTACACGTCATGTGGCCTGGAATCCCAGGTCTTGTTTATCCTGGCTAGGGCACCAAATTTCATAATTAGTCGGCTCGGGCAAATTCCATGATACACTTGGGCTCGCTGTTCTTGTCCATGAGATGGTAAAGACATGGGCAGGTAGATGGTTGCGTAACGTGCCACGCATCCTGAACCCGTATACATCCGACGCATAACCTGAACCTGGCAGCATAGATCCAAGCTACCCTCGTCCAACTCGTATTCTTGGATCCTTAGTGATGGGGCATGTATGCCAGAAGGAACACGAATGGCTTGCCTTCCCAAATGTAAGCATTCTAGAGATTGCAAAGTCTGCATACTCTACGAAGGGTTTGATTTCCAGCTCATCCCCTAAACCCTAAACCCTACCTGGACCATAAGGAACCTACTATTTTAGGCTCCCTAATATGATTTCTTTATATAGGTCCCTAAACAGGTTTGTTCCTTAGGGTCCAGGTAGAGCTTATATAAACCCTAAACCGTCCTAAACACTACCTGCAAGGTCCCCGGGGCTGAGTCCTTTCCCGACTTTGCAAGGGGCACCGGGCGGGAACGGCTGGAGGCGTCCTGCATAGCCACTGTATTTGGAGGATCATGGGACTTAGTAAGTTACAAATAGGGCAACTATACTTGTAACTACTTATAACCCCAATTAAGGTACTTATAACCTTTCCCCTGCTAAGTCCCACGATCCTCCAAGCAGGGTGGGGGGGTACGGTTTGGCGCCAAGAACACGGAATATGTCAACTACAATCCAACTTCACAGATAAGCATACAGTAATAATCAGGTCATATAATATACATATACATATTTGTTCAGGGTGAGACAGAGAGAGTAGAATCCACAGCGGCAGCACAGCGGCATAGAATAACATGCCATGGTTTGTACTAGCTGCAAACAAACTTCACGGGTTTGAAAGCCTGGACACCCGAAGCTCGGATCTTTTCTGCTTTTTTTGGGACGGGGGTGGTGGGGGTTTCGGATCAGAGTTGCCAGTTCAAAGAGCATGTCTGGGATCTTGCCAGGGAAGGAAAATGTTGTTTCTATCATTTTGCATGGGATTATCTCTGTGGGTGTTGAGTAATATAGGGGCCTTAATAATTACATATACTATTTTGGGGTCCCTACTATGGTTATAGTATAATGGGCACCACAACTCTATTCTAATTATTGAGGCCCCTACATTAGTGTTTTCAGGGTTTTACCGGGTCACTAGGCAGCCCGCATCAGGACAGGAGGGCCAAGACCTTCCAACATCCCTTAGTTAAGGAATATGCCTTAATGGACCTTAATTGATATATATATATATATATATATATTTCATATTAGGGATCCTCTTATAGTTTAAGGTTTAAGGTATATTCCTGAATTAAGGGATTTCGGAAGGTCTGAGGGGCTGAATCTTACATCCGGGGAGGGCGCAGGAAGGCGTAAAAGCAGAGTTCGACTCGGCAAGCGACACTTGTCCCGGGATGTCAACTCATCTGGGTCGTTGTTGGTTATGATTTTACGTGTTTGTAATCATAAAAACCCAATAAAGATTAAACATGATCATTTTTCATATATCCTCAACCTGGAATCAGTCATGGGGCAAGGCTGCAATCGCTGCGACTCACGGAATACACTAGAGTCCGGTACAACTGCCGCTAGGCAAACGATGCAGACATCATGACCCCAAAGGGTGCGTCTACACTACCAGGAGTTGGGTCTTAGACCATCCTTGTTTTGGTTCGAGGGCCGCACTCCATGTCAGTAGTAGATACCCTTCCAGACAAACCGCCGATACTGAATTGTCCTAGTCATTCCATAATATACCCCAAAACGTCCCCAAAACCCTACTCTAGCCTATACCTGGACCTACCTTTAGGTTCCCTGTTATGATTTCCATATATAAGTCCTTAAAGGTAGGTTATTTGGGGTCGAGGCGGAGCTCGGAGTATTTCACCCCAAGAGGCGATCCAGCGGGAAGCTGTCAGCCAGAGTGTCTTCGGCGTGCCAACGCGCCCTGGCCTTGACCAGCGCGGTGAAAGCAAAAACGGTTCAGGGTTTACCCGGTTTAGGGTTAGGGTTCCATATTAATTACGATGTCTTGATACATACAAGTCCTCAGAATGGGTTTTTTTGGGCGGTTAAGGTAGGTACTAGACCTTGAGGCCTAAACCCGGATTCCAGCTTGCAAGGATGATGTGACCGGCTTACTCAACGAATAGGGGAGGTATCAAGGCTGCTTGGAATTAAAAAGGGGCAGATCTATCTATGGTTTTATGTCACTACAACTATATGTCTCTCCATTCAATCCCTGTATTGCTCAAGTTCTGGGCACGTGATGGTTCGTGGCTTCGAGGGGCAACAATCAGGTCAGAGTACCCCCAGACCTTGTGGATTTTCTTTCTGGCTAGTTTGTCCCCGACAGAAATTATTTTCGACCCTGCTGCCCGTACTTCAGCTTGTTGATGAAAAGCTTTTCTTCTTGTTGCCTGCAAGATATTCTCCCATGTCCTAAAGCCTAACTCTAAAGAGTTAAGGCTCGCGAGTCGCAGAGACTTTTAACAGATCCGTTGAACAAGAAACTAAGAAGGCAAGATAAACAACAAGATTATTCTTCAGGGCTGTCTTCTAAGCTTGCTATCCAGCAACTTCCCTGTCGAATCATCACGGCCTCCATAGTAGCATGACCGCCTAAGTAGGTGTGCTTTCAGACTGCGCGTCAGTGAGTCCCGATCAGACACCAACTTGGTTCGGTAGCTGACAGCTTAAGAAAATAATCATTAAACGCGAGGTTGCTCTGACAATCAGGCATCCCTTTTGAAGGCACCCATTCAGCAAAACTGCCAACAGCAAGAACCACAGTGGGATCTTAACTCTGGTTTGTGGGCCTAGGGCCTGACATGAAGTGTTCCATGTTGAAATTAAACTTGCTATGCTATAGGACCCTATTACCATGGGGTGTTGTTGCTGCGGGGTTTAGGGTTTGTGAGGTGCACGAGAACTCGAGCCCTCACAAGCAAGATACAGCATATTATTTCTGAGGTACATCCTCGATGGGCAGCTCTTTTTCGGCCGGGAGCACCTGCCGTTGCTGCGCCGACTTCTCTACGAGGGAGGCAGCGGGTGCTTGCTTTGCAGAAAGGCTTTATGCCTCTTTACATAGTTTACAGTTTGGGGTTCAGGGCGGTGGCCTGTGTCACTTGTCTTGTTGCTGTCGTTTGTGTCGCTGGTATATCCACCATTCTTAGTAGTATTGCTGCTGCAGCACGTAGACTGCAAGTAAAGTGCTAAGCAGGGTAACCAAGCAATTCGGGTACCCCAGACCTTCCAAAATACCTTAATTAAGGAATATACCGCAATTCATAATAGGATCCCTAATACAATTTAAGGTATATTCCTTAATTAAAGGATTTTGGAAGGTCTGGGACCTACAACCCCAAGCATGACCGAGTGGATGAAGTCCCCGGCTTTAAGCAACTCTAGGGTTCAGGGTTTAGGGCCACGCAATCCTTCTTGTAAGCCCCAATCCACTGACTACAAAACGCCCCTCATAGAATCCGTTGGAACCGTGATAAGCCTTCATAGAAGCCCTATAAAACCAATTAGTCGCCCTTTTGTCAAGCAGCTTGTTTGGCTGATATTCGGGATATCGGAGAACAAGGGGCATCACGTTAGCATTGAGAAACCTTCCAGTGGCATTTCACGATGTTGTCGCGACAGCATCTGACACTATACACAGAGCTCAATAAACCCGAAACCGAGCAGGCGTCTTACCCTAGGGATCTAAGGACTCACATATTAAGGCTTTTGGGCCCAAAGGCCATACTATATAAGGCTTGTGGGCTATTTTGATCCCTAGGGTTATGCACCCTAAGAGACCCTCCAGGCTTCGCCAAGAGAGTTGATCTGAGCGTGCTGCGCTCACCATACCTTTGGGATCGGAATGAGCTCTTCGCGGGGTTTTGATTCCTAAACCACGGCTTCCTTGTCATAGCTGGGTTGCATTTTGCTGTTTTAGAGTGCTGCATCCCAGTAAGGAATAGAAAGTTAAGGTTTTTAAGTATTATCAGGATCCACTATCAGTGAGTATAGAGGGACGATTTTTGGGATCGACTCTCCCACTCCCCATGAAGCACAAGTGATTAGAGGCGGTTTAGGCTTTAGGGTTCCTGCCCCACTGGTGAAGCCTTGTAGGCCCTACCTACATCCAACGGCTTCAGATGCGAGCCGAAGCCTTTCAAGATTCAAGATCATCCGAATGCCTATACACGCATGCCTTTACTATAAGCCCAGAACTGAACCGCCAGCACTGGATAAGTGCTTCTACTAGAACTAATTGAATAAAACGCCACACACTGCACCTTGGCCGCAAATCCAAAGCCCTACTCCCAAAACACACAGCCATACCACTCGTTAACCCTGGATCCCCACGTGCGAGAGTCTTGGACAGCATGGGATCTTGGAAATAGCTTGAGTATACCAACCCCAAAAGCGACTACGCTTTTCCAAAACTCCATGCATTACGGTACCTACATAAATCCTTGCGCCAATATGTTACATACGTGACATACCTACCTGGCAACCTATCTTCCCGCATACACACATACACAATATATGAGTATGTAGCTCTCATTACCAGCCTGCTTTTAACAGCCTACTGGAACTCAAGGGCTCCTTCCGAGTGCCAGAGCGGGAGGATGCAAAGCCATCCTTAGCTAGCCCCGCGTCGTGGTAGGGTGCTCGCTGTTTGTCGAAAAGCTGCGGAGTTTGCGCCGGCGCGGCGACACAAGGAAAAATCATCATATCCTTCACCTGCACACCCGCCTCCAAACTCCCACCTTCGAAGCCTAAGCCCAAAAAGTCATAAATCCTATTTATAAGCTGGTTAATCTTTCAGGGCTCAGGGTTTGTCAGTCTTATGGCTTCAATTTCGATTCCGTGGAACTTTCGTTGGCTCGCACTTTGGTCGACCAGTGTGACTCGATGCGGTTTCCCTAGGGTCATATAGGCCTTGCTGTAGTGGTTCCTGTAAGGCGTCTTAAAGACTTGGGTTGTAAAGGCTCCAAAGTACGCGGTCGTGAAGTTTTCTGGCTTTAGGGCTAGGACCCCATTTAAAATAATTTAAAGTAGTTTACACCCCTTACGAGTAACCCACCACTTCATCAGGGGCTTGAATCTTGAATATTATGAGGCAGAAGGGTTTACTAATCTACGTCGTTGCAGCTCAGCTCGAAGTCCACCCCACCCAAGGCTCAGAGACTTACTTCGGAACTCCCACATCCTACTTCCCGAGCCTTAATGTGCGTCCATAGCATAGGTTTCGGGGTTTAATTACGAGAAAGTGACTCTAGGGCCAAAACAGATACGACGTGACTAGATGGACCCTTACAGTAGGTATACTATACTGCACGCGTAGGCGTAGGCACTTGTAAACATCAGACAGATTCCCACAGACAGTCTAACACATACATGCTCCGTTTTTTGGGCTTACATCAAGACTCGTAAACCCCTCATGAAACCCTGTAAATAGCACCGATACAACTGTCAGGTCAAGGTTCCTATCCCACGAGCACTTGCACCCTAAAGCCCTATGGAGACCTGTTCGAATCCTTGAGACCCCACAGAAACCCAATACGATCTTCCAGTCACCCGACTCAAGGACTTTGGCTACTTGGAGGATCATGGGACTTAGTCAATAAGGTCATAAGTACTTTAATTGGGTTTATAAGTACTACTAGGTATAGTTACCTTATTTATAACCTTACTTACTAAGCCCCATGATCCTCCAAGTACGTGTTGGTCCAAGTCCGAGCATCAGCATGGAGAATAGCATGCCGAGGTTTGGAGCATGAAACAAAAGTTATGCACACCCTGCTCTAATCGCGAAGGCCCCTCTGTGAACCCCAACCCTAAACCCTAAACCGCTTTGAGCTCAGAGTGATTGTGCTGCCAAAAAAGCCCCTAAACTGGTAGTCCTGAAGCACCCAAGCTTTGGGAGGCGCCGGCTGCAGAGTGAGACAGGGCTCAAGACGTCAGCCTGCGAGTTCCGGGTTATATTTACAATACATACTATAGCGGCCTTAAGAATCACCAAATAATTATAGGGTTCCTTTAAAGGGATCCCTGAAGGTTCCATAAAGGGATCTATTGTCGGGTTCTGTTCTCTAGGTTTTTTCGGAAATCTGTACTTAGTGGCTGAGTACTGTGGAGGCCTGAACAATGCTCCATACTATTTTTTTGATTCCTTTAAAGGGATCCTTAAAAGGTTATATAGGGATCCATAAAAGGGTTCTATTCTATATCTTTACTTGGCGGCTGAGTACTGTTGAGGCCTTAATAATTACCAATGCCATTTGGGGGGGGGTTCCTACCATAGTTATAGTGTAATTAGGTCACCGTTAACCTTTTGTGTTGTCTAGAATCCGACCATCTTTGAAAGGGTTTTTGTACTAGGGCAAACAGCCCCTAAGCCTGCAACACATACTGAACAACAGAAAGTTGGAGCACTGATTTGGTGCTTGGCCCTTATAGTCACGACATAAGCTTATGTCAAATTCCCCAAAATGCTATTCTAAGTATGAAGTCTCCTATGATAGGTTATTGTCAGTTTGTTGAATAGGGTCTTCAGCACTTTTTAGGGTTTTGAGAGAGTTTGGCAAGTTGTTGAAGGTTTGTTCTAGGTCTCTAATGGGAGGTTTCCAGTGTTTCCAACAAGGGGTTCTGTGCGAGCTGTAAGCAAACAAGCAAGTATACCAAAAGGCCCCTACTTGTACCAACTGATGATGCCTCGAATGACTGGCAACCCCCAAGCGTAAAAGTTGCGACAGTGCAAGACAATTAAGGCTCACCCGTATAACCGACACCCTGAGAGGATGCTACAGGAAGCCTTAATGTAGGGCCTTAATAATTACCGTTTCTTCTGTAATTATAGTACAACGGGTCCCGAAACCCTATTATTAATATTAAGGCCCCTATGTTACTCTAACTCGAAACCCTAAACCCTAGGTCCGGTGGAGATTTGCCACGGGGCGCGAAGACTTGGAATCCTTTGGAAGTTGATCAGAGTTCCATCTAGCACACAAGGCCTGCGATGGATGAGTCTTGTCCGAGTAGAAATCCTAGAATAAGTTTAAAGTCCCGAAGCAATCGCATAAGACCTCGCATGAAGACACATCGTGAATCCGCAGTTCCGTTGGTTTGGGAAAGCTCAGAAAACGCGTTGAAGAAGCTTGTCTTTTCCCTAGAGAAAGCAAGCTTGAGGAAGGACCTCCAAACGAAGCCACAGGACCAAGTCCGGCCTTCGAGTTTTGGGTGAAGTTAGATATGCCGGCGGCTCTAACTATGCACGACACTTGTACAGGAGTTTAGGGGCGAAGGATTTATCACAGCTTTGCAGTGGCTCGGCATACAGAATCCACTCAGTTTAAAAGCCCGAGCTGTTGTCGCATCCTTCAGGGCAGGGCTCAATTCTGTTTGGTTCTTACTAGGGGATGGGGGAATGGATCCCTATAGTTGTCCCTATATACTCCCCAATCATAGTCCCCATAATCACCCATTCCTCCATTCCCTACAGCACTAAGAACCAGACAGCACTCTGATAACTGCGGAAACGCAGGGGCTCCACATATACTGCCATCGTGAAAATTAGGCCCTAGGAGATCATCCTTATCATGGTTTTGGGGATCTGTTTCCATCATAGTAGTATATACGGAGCCTCTTGGAATTGTAGGATTTTACAGGCAAATTGGGTAAGACACTAGGTGGCCCTCGTTTTGATAGCATTCGTTTGGCAGGTCAGTCCTCACCCCTGATCATGATGCAGCTGCCAGGGAATGACATGTGCACTGATCGATACCCCTGCTCAATGCATAGACCCAAGCCCTAAACCCCAAAGCTTTAATCCAAAACCCAAAACATACCCATTTCGGCTTGCAAGTTTTGGGACCACGCCTCCGTTTTGACCTTGAAGAAAACCCTAAACCCAGCTTTCAAGGTTTAGGGTTCAAGGGTTTCAGGGCACCGGGTTGTGTGTTTAGGGCGAGAGAAAGTTGAGAGAAATTTGAACCCAGGTCCTAGCCAAATCATCCTCGGCCCCGGAAAGGCTTGAGGCAACCCTGCAGCCGAAAGTTTTCAACAAGTCATCGAGGAGTCTATGCCCCCAAAGCCACAACCGGAGCTTCCTGCAGATGTCATTCCATGCAGCTACATTGGAATCAACCGTTTATGTTATGGAATGCAGTGCGCTGCCGAAGGCACACTGCGCTGCATTGTCCCGAAGTTTTAGCGAGCTGATTCGGATCGACGAAACTGCTGGAGGGTGTAGGATTATGTAGGAGGGGTGCTGGTTGAGCTTTGTTAATTAGACGGTTTGGTCTGATAACCAAGCATTAAGGCAACGATGCTATCATCCTGATGACGACATGTACCACACGCGATTGCGAAGCCTAGCAGCTGTTTGGATGGTTGTCAAAAGGAAGTGCTCCTTTGAGGGTGCCCACTCTGAGATTGACCCTGTCTTCAGGGCATCTAAGAGGAGACCCATAGCTCGAAAACAATTGAATTAATTATAGAGTGTGCGGTTTCGAGGTTCAGTGTAGGAGGGTTCAGTGGTTTCGCGGCTTGAGACTGCAGCTGCAGGGTGCGGAATTGAGGTTTAAGGCTTTATATCTAGTGGTTTCCTCAGTGCGAGTTGTCGGCTTTAGGTCCTTGGCTTTGCAGGTCATGGTGGAGGGTGTCTTTAGGGTTTAAGTCTTCCTGCTCTGACGAAGGGAGCAGCCTGGGGTCCTTGGCAGCTGTTTTGGCTGCGGCTATACCGAGTAGCCTGTGGGTTACGCCTGTGCAGTCGAACACAGCGCTGCGCCGGCGATGGCTACTGTCATGGTCAGTGCATTGGCTGAGTTTGCCAGGTGTTTGCGTTCGTAACATTCCGGAATGTAAAACGTCACAGAAACGGTTCGCCGTAGTAA